GACGACTACCAGAGCAGCCCTTTCCAAAGTACTATTATCACTCTTCGAAAAATGCATATATATATATATATATGAAATGGGTTTTGTTGAGAATATGTTGTCCACTTCCTAGGTTTGACATCATCATATGCGGCTATGGACAAAGAAGTGAGCCTACTCCTACTTGTGCTTAGAAAGAAAAGGACTGGTGAAGGTGGATGGATGGAAATTTTATCACATGAGTTTAGTACAAAATAATCCAAGAAGATAAGGTCATGAAAATGCAATTATGTATCATCAGTATGTGATAAGTTGTTGTTTCTTTGTCCGTAATTCCACTCCACTGAATTCAGATGCCACTCTATTAATGTTGTACTCCACAAAATATGTGCCTAACTATATACATATATATATATATATAAACCCAAAACGAGAGAGAGAGAGAGAGAGAGAGAGAGAGAGAGAGAGAGAGAGAGAGAGAGAGATCAGAGGGCAAAAAGAAGAAGAAGAAGAGCTACAGCTACTACGTATGCTAGAGTGGCCACACGTGCTGGGTCACCTAGCTTCATAGAGACCACACGTGCACATGGGAAGGCACTAGACAGAGGGGAAATAAAACTAGGAAAGAAACCACCACAGAAAATATATGCATGACGAGAGAATACGTATATGTGTCTTCACCCTCCCCAGGGAGGGCTCCCCAGTCCCTCCCCAGGGTCACCAGTCAAAAATACCATCACACACACACACACACACTCACTTTTAACACACAATTCACACACACAGAGAAAGAGAGGGACGTAGGCAGGGTTTTACTGAGTTGGCTTGTGGTGGTCTGAAAAGTTTAGGCATCAGATGCTGCCACGTACATCTGTTGTCCGTGTCTGCAAAATACAACCCACACACACACACGTTTGGTTTCTTTTGGAACTTGCTTGCAGCATCGTTGTCTTCACTCGTAACTAATCCCATCTCATCCAAGCTTTGCAAACATCTCAGTTCCCTCTCACAACTTGTCTGTGTTTTTTGTACAACATCAATGATCAAAACCAAACACTTCCGTTAACGTTTCTTGCTTACATTCTCGTGAATTGGCTGTATATTCTTTACTTGAACCCCAACTATCTTTGCTGCAGCTCCGAATGGACACTTTGTGCATGACAAATGATAAACCATGAGTGTGTTTGGATTGTAAGTTATTTGCCCAAATATATTTGCTTACATCACCATTATAATTTTCAATACACCTTTTTATCTTCCCAATTACCTTTTTATCTCACGTACATCACATCACAAAAAGTGCTACAGTAAAAATATCTCAAATAACTTACAATCCAAACACACTGCATATTATGCAATCAATCAAAGAGTTAACGAAGAGGTTTCCAAGGCCGCCTCAGCTCATATTAGAGGACTTCAGGGTTTAAATGCGTGTAAATTTACTCTTTAAAATTTATACATGTGACATGCATCCGCTCCCGCTTCCATACACACTACTACTGACCGTATAGAAAAAATTAATTTAATTTATAATTTAGAAACAACTATATATGTATATATGTGTGTGTGTGTGTGTGTGTGTGGTGGCATTCAAATTCTTGATTTAATTTTGTGTGGATTCTAAATTGTTGATTTTAGGAAATTGCTTTCCTCCAAAAGGGCATTTTATTTTGTAAACAATTAGTAGCAGCAAATAATGAGTATTCTACTCTCACATCACATGCATGCAAACATCAACAACATACCAAGACTCTGAAAGCTGTACCAATAAAACTGACCTGGCCAGCCAGAAGAAGTAGATATCGACACACAAAACATGCCTCATCGGTCGGACCCTATATATTGGCCATTGAGTTTGGAAGTAACTGAAAAATGGGGACAATTCTTTCGCTGTTTCCATTCTTATTAATTGAGTGGTTTTCAATTATAGGCTGATAAGGCATTTCGGTTGGGGTTCCTGCTTCCTGTGTCCTATAAAATAAAAATATGAAGTCAGGTTTCAAAGTTATTTGACCAAAGGTGCTTCAGTTCACTGAAAAGGTTGTACATTCCTGTTGCACTGACACAATTAATGAAACGTATGCGACTAGGCTTTGGTATACCAGCAAGTACATAAAATTTGATATTCACACACTGTTTTCCTCTCAAAGGAAATAGTTGAAATTGGACTTTGACATATTTAATGTGCCAATTCATGACTTTAAAACTTGTTTTACTCTCCCTTGGAAATCTCACGAGCTTGTCAAGTTGTTTCTTCAATCGGATCATTCTGCCAACATTCCTGCCAAATAAATAAATTTAGTAGTATTGTTCAAAACAGAGCAGTAAACAGATTAATTTTCCATCATCATTTTATTGTTACCGCCAAGCTTGGAATAGGACATATTTTTTCAGACTGCCTATGGTGGGTGCGCCTTGAACCTATAATTTGCAAATTATAACAACTTCTACAAATTATTTTGCTTTTAAAATTTCTTGCACGCTTATACATACATACATACATATATACATACGCACATATATACACTCGCACACGCTATAATTGCTAGTTATTTGATCCAACGAATATCAAAGGCCATTTTGCAAAATTAGTTTCTTTTGTAAAATTCTGAATGTAAGTCACATATAATTGACGATAAGAGACCTTACACCTACCGCAACATTCATCATTCTAAACTTACCACTAACCTTATGCAGCTTTTTCAACCCCCACATTAAAGGGAAAAAAGTCAATATAGATGACAAACATCCTTAGTTGTAGTTGTAACGAAAAATCTTAAATAAGCAGAAAAAATTAAAAGAAAAAAAAAAAGAAAAGAAAGCAACATTGCCATGCATTTTCCCCCTTTCTTTCAATTGTCATGATTGGATAGAGGACTTGTTCGCGAGAGTGTTTGTAGCTTCTTTCTAACGCAATTTTCTTAAAATACCAAACTTGTTGAGAAAAGTTTTCCTCCTTGTGAACATTTGGACATCAGTGAATAGTTGGACTGTCTATTGTATTTCTTCTCTTACTCGTCACAAGCTAATAAGGGAAACTTCTAGTAGTACTAATTTTACACTACGATATGACAATTGACATAACATGACGGATTTTGGGAAAAGTTTTTTGTCCAGAAATTTCAGTCGAATACTAGTAGGAAATTTTGGTGTTATGTCGATGTGTATTTTCCAATTTGTAAGATTACAGTATTCTCGAGTCTTACTGCTCCTCTTGAAGTTAAATTGACTTCTTGACATCCCAAATATTGCCATGCATTGAACCACAAAAGGTTAAAACTGAGAAAAAGTTGGGATAGCTTATCATAATTAAGTACTTTAGTTTAGATATGAATATGTCGAAGCAGGACAATTTTTCCGAATGTGTAATGGCTTTTGTACTTCTGTCGTTGGCTAAACTTAAGAAGCTTAATGAGTCACTGACGAAAGAGATGAAGTGGAAGTGATAATTTAGTAAACAGCTATTTCAAGTTTTGGTATTGATGAGCTATCGTGGGGTCAAATTCTTGATGTATACACGATCACAAGAATTGGAAACCAATATATATATATATATATATATATATATATATATATATATCTCGAGACCAATGTAGAAATGATTAATATAACTCAACACCAATGTGATTTGGCGGCATAAATACAAAAGGGGCTTCCGAGCTAGCATTACACAGTCATTGGCTATCAGGCGTGAAAAGTGACAACAGGAATCCGGCATTCATGAAAGCTCTAGCTATTTTGGCTTCTCTCGTGTGACTTCTCCTACATAATAAGAATTTAAGTATTAATTTTAAGTCTTCAAAATCTCTTAGCTTATGATATGCGTCTGTGGGCAATTGAAGAAACATTAGTGAGGGTCAAATCCAACTTCTCCCTCCCTTTTATTTTTTGGTCTATAAAAATGGTGATTTGAGAGTTGAATTATGAATCTCAAGATCACTTAATTTACGTCCTTAACAGTTGAGTCTTGAGGGCAAAAGTTAAATTCTTTATTAAGTGGTCTGATTATTATCAGTGCCATAAAGAGTGCAGAATGGCCCAACAGGTAGTTTTTCTTCCTGCTGCCATTTGTAATTGCCACTCTTGGCATCACGTCAAAATCATATCACCACTTTTCATGTGAAAAAAAAAATCTGATGCATCAAAATTTACTTTTTATCCTGCTTAGAGTAGAATTTGTATTTGATTGACGATTATTGCAAGATCAATTTTGTTTGTACATGCAAAATATTATTGTACCACAAAATCTCCTATTACAGATTCTCAACTGTGACTACAGTTTTTCTACTGGAATAGGGATGGAGATTTAGCATTACAAGTTGCAAGATATGATGGAGTGCTATGTTCTTGACAGGGTTGGTTAAAGTGGTGTAATCAAAGCTTCATTTTCAGCATTTGACAAGATAAAGGGTGTCTAAGACCTGTATAACACGAAGCTAACAGACATTATATTTGAAGTCTCTCTTGTCAATGTCGGGAGAGACAGCCTAAGACCTTCACCTCTACTCTCAGCTGGTGGCATATATAGGTATTAGGACATGGGAAAACAGAAGAATATTAAAAACTAGAAAAAGATAGCAATTTCACTGTTCCCCAGGAACAGGAAAAGGAAAAAAAATGGAGAAATCTGTTACTTATTCTGGTACGAGTGAGAGCGATAGTTTCTTTTTTATTTTTCTTTTAGAGTAAAAAAATTTTAACTCGCAAGTATAAATATTGGGATAATAACTTTTGGAGTTCAGTGAGGATCAGTCCACTCAGGGTGGTTAATCTACTCACCCAAACACACATACACTTCTCTTTTCTGTTAGAGACACTTTTGCTGTTTTTCTTGCTCCTCCCAAGTTTCTTTTTCTCATCCTGGGCTGCAATACTTCTTCCTTTCTTTCTCCTGCTCACTCCACCATCTGTCAAACTTCTTTCTCCTTCAGCTCTGGTCCCTGCTGAAATCTTTCTTTTTGCACCCTTTTTCATCACGTCATGATCAAGATGAATGTGACCGTGTAGAGTTGATGTTAAAGTAAAGCACCCTTTCTGTCAGAAAGGATAAAGAGTTGATGGAAATGGCAAACAAGCAGTGTAGTATTTATGCACCAAATACTACTAGTAGCATAAATACGGGCATTGACAGTTATCCATCAGGGGCTTCCCCGTTTCTTTGTTCATCATCATTAGCATTATCATCGCCATTATCTTCCTCTCCTCCTCCTTCAGGTTCAATGGGCATGATTTTTGAAGACATGAGCTGTTTGTCCATCAGTCCAAACTATCTTTCTTCTTCACGAGATAGCTTACATGAAGGAAGACCTTGTTGGGGTTTTTCTTTTATGCCAAAATGCCTCCTGGAGGAATCCCAAAATAGTGATGTGGGAGAAGGTAAAGGTTCATCCGACTGCAGTGACGGATTTGGAGAAACTGGTAATCAACCCATTGATCTTAATGCTGATTTAAGTGAAGAAAAACAAAGCAATAATCTTCAGGCCGTTGGTAGCAGAGATAGTGGCCAATCAAAGCTCTGTGCTAGGGGGCATTGGAGGCCTGCCGAAGACACAAAGCTTAGGGAACTAGTAGCCCTTTATGGCCCTCAAAACTGGAATCTCATTGCAGAGAAGTTGGAGGGAAGGTCAGGTAACAGCTAGAACCTTAGCTAGTTCTCCTTCATCAAGAGCTCTATCGTGTCTTGGGAACCTTCTTATGTTTAACTTTGCTTGTGCATGTTCCTTTTTAAGGTAAAAGTTGCAGATTGAGATGGTTTAACCAGCTGGATCCCAGGATAAATAGGAGAGCTTTTACTGAAGAAGAAGAAGAGAGACTAATGGCAGCACACAGGCTATATGGGAATAAGTGGGCCATGATTGCTAGACTTTTCCCAGGTAGAACAGATAATGCAGTCAAGAACCATTGGCATGTTGTGATGGCTAGAAAGTATAGAGAGCAATCCAGTGCTTACAGGAGGAGAAAGATGGGCCAATTTGTCTGCGGGAGAGTAGAAGATCACGACCGTAGCTTTGTCAGCAGGAGGGATGCAAGTGCACACATCAAAACAGAATCAACAGGACCTCCTCCTCATAATTACACTCTGATTAATAACTCCAACGGGACACTACTTGGTAACCTAACAGCTTGTTCGTCAGGAGGAAATCTTAATGGCGGTGTAGGTGCTGGTGGCATTGGGATTGCTTGTGGATCAAATATTTCACCCCACATGGCATCTGGTGGGGAAGCAGTACTAAGCAATATCGTACCCTCTCGTCACACTGGATTTTGTTCATCACAACAAACATCCTGTGACATCTTTCCTGGTGTGTCCCTTAACACAGAGAGCACGTTTCCTCGTATATTTGCCTTACCTCGTTGCTTCAAATTGTTCCTTTTTCATATTTGTGGTCTCTAATATTGCACTGGACTTTGGCCATTGATTGTGGATTCTTGTTCTGGTTAGTTGTTGTTTTGGCTCAGTAAATATGAAGGAATATTTTTCCTACTCAAACCTTAGGACAAGAGTAACTGATTAATTATTTGATTGCTTAGTTAGTAATACTACAGATTTTATCTCTCTCCTGTTTTCATGAAATGGAGCCAAGGCAAACCTTGCTCTTTCCTTCTCATTTTTTGTCCATTCATGGTAAGAACTAAAAACCAAGAAGTTTGAACTCAGTGAGTTTTTTTTTTAAACTAATCATCTTTTCTGAAATTTCCAAGATTCAAGTAATTATTGTAGCTGTAGCACTTAGTAGTTACTAGTAGCTAGTAGGACATAAGTAGCGATTGAACCCACAGCCTTGTTTTTTTCTGCAGGAAACTGCAGCAATGGGATGATGAGCATTTTCAAGCAAGGCAGGCCTTGGGATAGGCCAAGAGATGAATCCAACGTCTCATATCTGTGTCATCATCCCGTGCAGCAGCAGATTCACCATCCTCTTTTAATGACTGCAATGCAACAGTCACAACACTGCCAGTACCACCACCCTCCTAGCACCAGCACCAGCAGCCTCTCATCAGTAGATTATTACCATAACACTAGCACAGGAGGAGGAGGAGGAGGAGGAGGAGGATCAATATCAATACCACCACAAGTTTCATCACTACTCACTACTACCACTGACCCTGCATCATCACCACTCACAGAAGACAGAATAACCAGCCAATACGAGACCCTTTCCCCACCATTTATAGACTTTCTCGGGGTTGGAGCCACATGAAGTTAAAAAGCCAATGAAAGCTCAAAATGGTTTACTCAATCCCTAGAGAAGAGGAGAAGAGGATCTTTCGCATTGGTCATTACTGCTACTACTAGACCAACCCTGGCGGGTTTTCATTACTAATTTACTACTACAACTGAAGAGGCATTTTGTTGAGTCAAAGTAGAAACAGTGCAAGTTCTTTCTGTTTCGTAGCTTTGAAATATCAAATATCAAAGCCCCCCCTATCTTTCAGAGTCCTCACCCACTCTATTGATCCATTCCACCAATAACCACCACCCCCCCTTTCCCCCCCCCCCCTCCCCCACCACACAAAAAAAAAAACCCCGCATCCTTTTCTATTGTAGCCTGTTTTGTAGTCTCTATTCTTCACATGATGAAATGAAACCTGTTTGATATTTTTGTGATACTACAAAATAAGATGCTCTCACTACTGTTTCTACATTTTCTTTCTTGCTTTATTTTTTTTCTTTTTAATTTGGCACATTCGTAACTTCCTCGAGTGAAAGGGAATTAAATATCACCAAAAAAAAAAAAGAAAAGAAAAGAGCTGGGATGCCAAGTAGTAGTAAGTAACAGCTGACAATTAATGTGTCCTTTGACAAGTAATATAGTCAGGAGGCAAGGCCTGCTTGGTTGGTTACTTGATTAGTAGCTAATTATCAGTTTGCCCAGCGACAAGGGGTATGAAGTCACCCTATTCTTGTTTATCATGAACCTGCGAAACGGAAAAACCTTTTTAATGAACATCATATGTTATCCTACTGATCAAGTTCTGTTGCACTAGTAAGTAAAATGTTTTGTTTTGTTACCAAAAGAGACGAGGAAGCAAAGGGGCTGTAGGATAGTGTGGGAGCAAAAATCATGGGAGACGGTGATGAGACTTGAGGGAAAAAGACAAAGTAAAACACTGGGGAAATCTGAATACATCCTTTTCTCATGGACCTGCAAAAATCAGGCACAAATTCTGGGCCTGAACACAAAAACCTGCTTCGAATGCAGTCATTATGGTAACTGTTTAACATCCTTGCCTCAGCAAGAATCTTCTGAGAGTAGTCATGCTGCCCACATGGGCATGGTTCTATGGAGCTGCCCAACAGTCAAATACTAATCTTATGTTAGTATACGACATCCACCGCATCCGACCCCCCCCCCCCCCACCCCTTTAAAAAAAAAAAAAAATCCCCGAAATCCACCACACCTTATTCAAAAAAAACCCCATGAACCGTAAAAAGCATGCTTAAAATTGAAAAAAAAAGAAAAGAAAAGAGCAAAATAGGGAGTATCATTTTTAGTCCATCACTGGATCTTTAGACGCTGGAAGAAGCAAATGATTTAATGCAGCCATCATTACTCATCTGTAACTCTGCATTCATCATAGTCAACAGTCGGTTTCAACTTGCATTAGCCCTCTCTATGCTAATTAAGGAAACCAAACAGCGTATCTATAGGCATAATAATAATAATGCACCTGGCTGATTCATCAAGATTGTCACAGCAGAAAAGAAAACAACAAAGAGAAATGAAGATGTATTCTTCCTTTCTTTATTTTTTGTGTAGGGAAAGGGAGGGGGGGGTGGGGGGGGAGGGGTGTTGGTTTTGTTCAGATTTGATGGAAATGAACAAATCTCTCTGCTCTCATCCTAATGTCACAAGTGATGCACGCTCTGGGAAGCCAACCACGCAGATGCTGGATGCCTTTTTCCAACTGACGTCAATGTACCTGTAACCCCACTTGAGATCCTCGGTGTCATTTTTTTTTATGTCAACCCAATGCCATCTGTAATATTGCCAAGTATCCTGTTATTATTTATACTTGTGTTGAATTATTAGAAGATTAAAGTGTAAATAATAATAGGACACTTGACGCAATATTATAGGTGGCATAGAAAAACATGTCACCGAGAATCACAAGTGCTGTAACTCATATTCGGAAGATTATTTGAAATAATTTAATAAAAAAAATACTAATATATCATTTTTTTATAATATAATATAATGTATATGATATAAAAAAATAGTTTAAAAATAGAAAGGTGATTGAAAGATCGTGTTTGTGGTATAATTAGATTTTTTTTTTTTTGCAAATAAAAAGCTATCCAAGCACAGGTAAAATTAATACAAATGCCTGTATCAGAAACATAATTTTCAATTAATTTTTTTTTTAATTTTACATGTATTACATCTTAAAAAGTGCTGTGATAATTATTTCAAATAACTCCAAAAACACAAATGGTTGATATTCGTAAAGAGCACTACCGGACGGTACTGGGCTTCGATACTTTAATCTTGAACTTATTAGGCAGTCATTCCAATTCTTTACTGTGTGATAAATGAAAATGGTTAACAAGTAGGCAGTCATTCCACTTCTTATACTATTTTAATCATCTCTACTTCTTCTACTAGCGCGTAAAGATAAAGTGAATCTTACCCCCCAAAAAAAAAAGGGGGATAAAGTGAATGAGTTACAAGTAGCTTAACTAGCACGCAATATATACTTTTTTGTATATAAAAATCAACATTAGACAAAGACAAAACTTTTTGAATAGGTAAGTAAAACAGTAAATTTTTGTAAGCAGTAAAAACCTTCGACATGATCAAAATGTTGGCAAATATTTGGCCTTAAAGATGTAAGTTATGAATTTGGAAGACAAGGGCAATGACAATATATATATATATATATATATGTATATGTGTGTATGCATGCAACCGCTAACTATGAGGAAGCCAGCCAGCCAGCCACCTCCCTCTCCCTCTCCCTCTCCCATCTGTAGCTGTAGCCTGTCTGAAGACTGCGGCTCCGTTTGGATTAGCTGTTTTTTGGGATGTTTTTGAAAAACTTTGCTGTAGCAGAGTTTTTAGAGTATATTTTGAAATATTTTTAAAAAATATTTTGGAATATTTTTTATTGGCACTTTATTTTGAGATATTTGGTAAAATTTTAAAAAATTTTAAATTAATTTTTAGATTATCTTTTAGAGTACTTTGTTATAACTTTTATTGTATTTGAAAAATTAGTTTTTGAAAAACACTCCAAAAATAGGAGATCCAAACAGAGCCTGCAGTTGTTATAACGTTTGGAAATTTGTGTTGTGTGTGCGTTTTCGAATCAGACTTTTGTCTGCCGTTTGGTTGAAGCCAATTCAGTCCTGAGCGATAGCAATCTAATGTGGGCCTCTATATGCTTCATTTCCCACGGGGATCTGCTTCCCAGTTTTGGGCTTCTCAAGTTGAAGAACTTGAAGGAGGGTTAGGGTCTTCTTAATTAGACAGCAATTAATGACTGTTTCCTGAATTTCAATAATGGAGCAGTACTATGAATTGAGGGATGAAAGAGTTGTGAGTTTTCCACCCAAAAAAAATTAAATTAAATATTTTCTTCACACATTTTCTAATTGCTTTTTTATATTTATATGCAGTACATCATATCGCTGCTGCAGCAGTAAATTTCTTTTTTCTTTCTCTAAAAAAAGTGGGCTTTTAATTCACAGATTATGTAGCATTGTATATATTCTGTACGACAAATTAAATCGCGTTGAATCTAGAATTCGAGTTTCATAATTTTAGTCGCAAACTCAATATTGCGTGTATTTGTTCGAATTTGGGCCTTAGGCCGCATGCAGAAACACACGACAGTTTTTGAAATGGCAGAGCAGGGTTGGATAATAGTCCAATGGTTCCATGCACTTATGGTGTAGTCAGTCCAAACTCTTAAGCTTAAAGACAAAAACCTCTCTCTTTCATTTTTTCTTGTTGCAGTGCAGAAGAGAAGGAATTTAAATGGATCTTCAATCCACTAATCATTGCATTTTCACCCGGGCACTGGTAATACACATTCTTGGCACTGGTACGTAATACACATTGACAGCTTTATAGCTTACCTAAACGGGTTAGAGTGGAAATACCAACAGATACAAGGGTGGGGAAAAAAAAGAATAAAGGAAGAAGATCAGCAGAAACACTTGCCCATGAACGCCAAAAACTCTTCAAAATCAAGGACTCCATCGCCATTGTCATCAAAAGCACAGATCATCCTTCTACAGTCCTCCAGTTCTGATCCTTCCTTAAGGCACAGCCCACATAACACTCTCTGTACCTCAGCTGCATCTATAAATCCATCTTTATTCTCATCAAACACTTGAAAAACTTGCTTAATCTCCTCTAAACTAGGCTCCTCATCAAGCATTATATCGGAAAACTCACTTACTTTCCAGTTCTCTACATCATCATCATTACCTTCTTGATCACATGCTATTCCAAGTCTAGTCAGCACTGTCTTGATCTCCTCCATGCAAATTTCTCCAGCTGCACTTGGTTTAGCAGTTGGGTAAGTTTCAACAACTTTCATGTTGCTAATAACCCCTGTCCTCGTGCTCGTCCTCCATTTTCCCAAACAAGACTTAACAAGATTTTCTAGGGAAAAATGAAGACATGGAAAGATAAAAGTGCAAAACCTGACCCCCCACTGGAGAACTTTGAAGAGAGAAAGGAACCGTAACGAGGCAGAAGCCATGACTTCGATTCTTGAAAACATGAAGTGAAGGTGTTTTCTGAGATGGATAGGAAATTAATTTCTTGCTTTGGATGATGAATTATGCATGGCAAACTGGCAATGCACGCTATATATAAGAAAATTTTATAGTACTCTGTACTGGTGAATTCTTACTTGTTAAAATACTAGGAATTTACCAGTATTCTATCGTGAAGAATCGCGTCCTTCTGTTACTTACTCTTTTAGTAAGTGGATTACAAATTCCTGGAAATGTTCACGGGAACGGCCAAGAAGTTCATGACCTTTTGTCATCACTCCTCATCCATTCTTTCTTGGAAATTAGTCAGCCAAAAAGAAATTCTTTGAGGCTCGAAAGCTAGTGTAAACGCCAAGAAGAATAGGCTGAAGTAGTGAACCTCACGACGATGGTCGAAAGTGCTGGAGAAATTTATGGAAGTTCCACTGCAATTTGCTTTTCATACTAAATAGACTAACAAACAATTGCTTTCGCTTTTGACGTACGTATTTCTGATAATGAATCGTAGCCCTTTTTTAAGCTAGAAAAATATAGCAGTAGTTCCATTCCGTCAGACGTTGTCTTCTCGGTCGACCCGTCAAGTCATCTTGAGTCAACCTTTTTGTCTCCGTGTTGAAACATGGCCCGTCCTTCTTCCTGCTTAAGTGCATTTGTCACTTTTGCCCCTCTTGTTTTGTTAGGAAGGAGGGTGCTTCCTGACCCGAGAGAGCAATACACTAACGTAAAGCTTTTCTTGGTTTAACCAAACTTTTTCTTAAAAAAGAAAAAAGAAAAAAGAGCTTGCTTTTATTTTCTTCATTCGATTCAAGAATACCTTAACTTCTAAGGTGGATAAAAAAGGGTAGAAAACTTGAGAGTGGAATTAGGTGCTTTATGATACTGAAACTATTATACTTATCTGTTAAGTGTAATTTAGTTTTCCTTTTTTCCCAAGCGATAATTACCTCTTATAAAGAGTATTAAGGGACGGTTTGGAATTGCGGTAATTTATTGAAAAGTACTTCCCTAATAGAACTTTTAATAAAAGTACTTATTAACTGTTTAAGTACTTTTAAATATATTGTTAGAAAACATAGTTCAATAAGTACTTATTGTATTGGATAATGTGTAATTTGAAAATTTTTAAAAGTGTTTATCTCTTTATTTGGTTCATGATATAGGATAAAATGATTAGATTTGATATTTTATTTTTTTAAATCACGAAAGATACTCTAAAAGTACCAAATTTAAGGTTTTGTTAAAAGTGCTTTTAACACCAAAAACTCTACTCCTAATTTTATGAAATGATATTCATCAAATTCTTTAAAAGTACTTTTAACACCTAAAAATATTTTTTTTTTATCAAAAGTATCGCAACCTCAAACAGGGCCTAAACGAGGTACAAAGTATGAGCAGCTGCTCTACAGTCATCCTTGGCTAAGTGTAAATAGTTGTTTAAATAAATATGAATAATAATTATTAGTTTTAGCAAGAAGCACGATCCGTTTGAATTGTGTGTTTTTTAGGCACATGTCTCAAACTTTATTGTAATTTAGTGTACTTGTAACTTGTTTTAGGTTAAATGTCAGTGTTTATCCAAAATAAGTAAAAGCACCCTATCTATTTAGAAAAACCCTTCCCCCCCCCCCCCACTGGACCGGTACCCTATTTAATTTTTTTGGGGTGCTTTTTTAAAACTTGTGGAGTGTTTTGAAGTATTACTATGGATGTTTTAACAAACTTTGTCTTTCCAAAACAAACCCAAAAAATCCTTGCCAAACACATCCTATAACCTAGGAATTAATTTTAAAAAATTAAATGATTAACTTTTTATACATTGATAGTGTAGTGGTTTTCTTACACTTGTAATTATGGATATATGTCACATGTGTATAATTAAATTTTAAATTTAAATTCATATTATGTGACATGATTTAAATCTATTAGCGTGCAAAAAAATGTACATTGACAATGTATAAAAAACTTATTCAAAATTAATGATCAATTTAATTCAAAAAGTTAAGTTTGAAATGTGTTTTAGCATGAAGACGGTGACTTGTATTTGTAGAGACTTTAAGGGCCTTGGGAGATTAAAAGATGCTAGCGTCAGGAAACTGTCGACAATGTTTGGATTCTCTTTAGTAGAAGATCCAACGGGCGCTCATGAAGCTCGCTTGGATTGGGCTTTAGACACGAAACGGGAATGTCTGTCTATGGCCTATGGTCTAGATCAACCTAAGTCAAATGAAATGTTGGATATCCACCTTATCAATATCTCAAATCCATGAGAGTGTGCATTTTGTGTCTAACCTAAATGGGCACGCCAATCGAACTGAACCATTATGGGATGGTCCTTGTTGGCACCCACAAATGGGCCACCAGAAACATCGAGAGCAAGTATCTGTTATGCGGTATCATCAACCCCCTTTCATCCTTTTCTGTTCCCATTGTGAGGTGAAAGTTAGGCCAATCTGGAATCGCTGATCACAAGCGAGTAAGTGGACGTCACTTCTTTTCTGAAATCGACAAATTTAATATCTAAGCTAACCTCGCAGGAGAACCCCAAAGACGCTAACTTTTGAAGCCTCCTATAAAACTTAAATCCTAAACCCACCGACCCCAACAGATCGATATGGGACGCAGGACGGGAAAACAGGGAGGTTGCTACTGAGCCTGCTAATGGAACCCACTCTACTCTGACAGTTTTCTTTCTATTAAAATCGGCAAATTTAATATCTAAACTAATCCCACAGGAGAACCCCAAAAGGCATTAACTTTTGGAGCCTCCTATGAAACTTAAATCCTAAACCCACCGATCCCAACAAATCGATGTGGGACGCAGGACGGAGAAATAGGGAGGTTGCTACTAAGCCCGCTAATGGAACCCACCCTAGTTGGACAGTTTTCTTTCCATTAAAATCGGCAAACTTAACATCTAAGCTAATTACACAGGAGAACCCCAAAAGACGCTAACTTTTGAAGCCTCCTATGGAACTTAAATTCTAAACCCACAGACCCCAACAGATCGATGTGGGATACGGGACAGGGAAACAGGGAGGTTGCTACTAAGCCCGCTAATGGAACCCACCCTACTCTGATTTTTAACCCTCGCTAATGGACATCACTTCTCTTGATCATCTTTCCAAAGGGGACTTTAGTGAATCGGTTTGTCTGGCGGGTGCCCTGTAGGACACTCGTTAATATATATATATATATATATATATATATATATATATATATATATTCAGGTGTTATATTTTTAAAAATATAAAATTAATTAGAAAAAGTAAATAAATATAAGAGAGTATAAGTAAAATTAAATAGGAAAAGTATATAAATGCAAAAGAGAATAATAATTATTAGTATGTGTATATATATAGTAGATTAGATGAATATTAAGTGTGTAGAAAAACTTTTTTCTCACTTATCATCTAGAAGATTTAAGTTATTTTTACACGTAAATAGTTTTAGATAACAATTAGAGAATCACATTACCGGTGGAAAAAAAAAAGAATGTCAAATGCAATTCGTGTTCAGTTCTCCAACTGCTTCACGGAATTAACTAAAATTTGCAGCCGGAATTTGATTGATTGGCCAGGTAACTTATCGACTTCAGAGCCGGCAAATGTGTTAGTTGATTTCAAATATTAGTACTTACAAATGCGAGAGACATTCTACGTAGATTGACAACATTATTGACATCTAGTGTTTCTTCTTGATAGGAAAGGAACAAACATGAAAAGGAAAGAAAGAAACAGCCCATTGGATAATAAAAGTCTCCGCAGCATCACATGCCTGGGGACCCGTAACAACTCAGATCTCCCACAGAATTTGTGGCCTTGTATTGTTGATAACTGCGCTCAGATCTCCCACTGTCTCACCCTTGGCTGATGAGTCTGAAACACATGTTCACTACATCTTTAGTATATCCAAGAAAATTTAGTCACATATATTTCTCTGTGGCTGTGTCAGATTTTGTTTTTTTCTAGCTAGATTTCTATTGGTTTGATTATTCAAGTGCTTTGCTGTTTGCTCCTGGAGATTCCATACGGGAAGAAGTTAAAAAGGGAGGGGAAGAAGGCAATAAAAGAAACAAGAAAAGAAACAAGAAAAGAAAACCTTTATCCTCACTATTTCCAACTTTTGGGATCAGCAATTATAGAGGTTAGACTGTTTCGGAATTGACAGAGAAGGGTCATTAGCCTTCTGCAACTCATCTTAAGTTTTATCTCCACAGGTGAGGGACCAGCTAAAAGAGCCACAGCTGCTTTTCTCCCGAATGCCCCCACTCTCTGGTATCGTTCCTGCTAAAATCCACGAAATTTGGGAGTTCGAATCTTCTAACCAGAGTTCATGCCTTCATGGTCAGTGACATCTAAATTCGCACTCATAATGGTGATAACTAATTTCGAAATGACCTTGAGGTTCGATTTCAGCGCAGACACATTGGCATGCCTCCGCAACTATGAACACAATGTGATCAAGATGCAGAATAACGTAACATCCCTTTAAAAATAATAATAAAAATAAAAGTTTAACAGCCCTTCTGCATAAAGAAAGAGTGAAGCTTTTAACTGTGATCTTTGTACAAGATGTTTTAGTCTGATTTGAAAACCAACAGAAGACTGATATGGCTGTTGGCTTGAACTCAGCATTGATGAAGATCCAAGGATTTTGCTGATTTTAGGGTCGATCTTTGTCCCGATGGTTTGCTACATCAGGAATTTTTCTTATTTCCTGCTGCTTTATTGTTTTGTATGTACCGATACACAATTTACACTCACTTGCAAGTGACAGGCATAAACATCATAGAAGGAACTCTTTGTACCGTTACAAGAAAGGTTGACTAAAAAGTGGGAAGCTGAAACTTTTGCTGATAGCTCCTCTGCAAGAGTTCTATCTGCTCTTCCTCTTGACTTTAACAACATCTTCAACCGATTCCTGCACTACAGTCAGATGACCGAATATATTGCAACATTTTCTGCACTTATAGAAGTGGGTAAGATTCTCTCCAGCAGTTGCTATAAGTTAAGGTGTAAAACTTAAGTTTCATCCTCCCTGCCATCATCGAAAAACTTCAGTGAAGTTTTAATCTTATTATGTGCTCTCACGGAAGCTCTGTGACCGGGAAAAGGCTGCTGGATTGGCTTGCAGAACCAGTGAAGTATCGGCCACACGATTCTTTGGATCACCCTTTGAAGGAAAGGCCTTGAACAGACTTCCTCGGTTGATTGATTCGCTCTTCTCATTCTTAATTCCTAGCGTTGACCATATAGAGCTCTTTGCAGCTTCGTTTGGATCATCAATCCTCAATGTCTTAGGAATCAAAATGGAGCCCTCTGCATTTTTCCTGTCAAAAGTCTCTTCTTCTTTGAGTAGATTTGTAGGACTAAGAACGTTCCCATTCCTCGTATGTTTTCCTAATGTAGGGGATGTAGGAGTAGCACTCAGGGCAGAATGATCTGGAGACGAAGGCGCCGGAGATAGCCATGGCAAATTCCATGGGGTCGGTGCAGCACAACCCCAGAAAGGTGGTGCTGGATAAAATGATATAGGGAAACCAGGAGAACTAAGTGCAGGTGGAGGTAGTGGACTTCTCCATTGAGCGGAATTCCAAGGATACGGCCAAGGAGGGCCAGAAAAGGGTGGTACGGCTTGAATATATCCCTGACAATTATTTGAAACTGATTCAACACTGCCCCCTTTTTCCGTTGAATTTGAGATCGTGCTAGAAGATCCAGTTGAACGATCTTTTGCAATTTCTCTCACTCCACAAGGGATAGAGAATCTTTGTTCAGGTACATGAAATCCGTTTGGAAGATGGTTACGGGGTCTCTCCGCAAGGTTCAACACAGTTGCCATGGATTCGCAAAGCGGTCTTTCTGAACCAAATGTGAGGACAGTGCCATTTGCCTTCAGTGCTGGGAGGTGAAGCCCATTTGCACCATCACCTCGAGCTGCTTGGAGAGCATCTGAAACCATTATATGACGGTAACTGGAGGGGCAGGTGTTCTTATTCTTGCGGCGACCAGAACCAACAGGTACATTTCTCATCGTTCCACCAGCAGTCCAGTATCTCTGACAGTTTTTGCAGAAATGTCTAGGCTGGTTGACATTGTAATTGTTGTAATAACAGAACTTGGTATCCATGCTATTACATCTTGGACACGGAAGTATTTTATCAGGCTTCTTCAGTGTCTTTTCTTGGGAGGAATTGTTGTCACCTAGCTCCTCATTCGTATTTTTGGGTGACAAAGTTTCATTCTCAGCAGAGGAGGTCTTATGGTCATCACTTATCCCAGATATTGATGCTCGCTCGGTCAACTCTTCAGCAGTTGGATTGGATAAATCATCTTCTTGTTTATTCTCAGCAAGTTCTTCTCCTAAGGTATTCTGCTAAGTTCATGAAAGCCTATGTGAGAAATAAATTCAGCCATGTAGCGTTGTGCAATGACAATGAGTATGCTGTACAGGTATTGTTCCTTTCTCCAAGATCATCCTTGTAGATAAGGGGATTTGACCACTTTTATTGACCGGGAGACAATATTTAATCAGCAATGTAATTTGATATATCCAAACATAAGAGAGACAAGGTGATGCTAGAAATGAAAGATCCTGGAACACTACCTTCCACAAGAATGGCTTCAGTTAAGCGAACTGAAGAGACACCATTCTTGGTATATGGAAATAAGAAATATCTTAGTGCTTACTCAAATATGCACAACTTCAGGTGAAGCATATTCAACTCAAGCCACCAGATTGAAGAAGTGGATATTGGTGTATTTGTTTCGAAAAATGAATATATATATCCCCTGCCTCCCATTCAAATGCAAAACAGGGGGAGGATTCACACATGAGAAAAATTTACAGAAAGAATACGTGAAGAAATGTGGAATTATTCCATGTAACACTTGATCTCAAATCACTCTTGAAGCTATTGAATTTACATGTTTGCAACTAAATCATGCAGCAAAAGGTAGCAGGGGATAAAGTAAAGTTCGGATTGCATGAGCGGTAACAGAACCTAAGTAAGAAAAGAATTTGGCTGATGTACCAGTACGGTTAAAACTTGGATTTCAAGTGAACAAACTGGAAGTTCAAAATCAGTTTGATATATGCTGTTCGAGTTTTGATTAAGCAATACAAAATTCTAGGCCTGAAAGCAAAGCAAAAACAGGTCAAAACTTTGGAGTTTGAAAGAACGTTTACAAAGCTTAACGAATTAAAACTTTTTTAGACGTGCTAAACCGATTCAACAGCCTTGAAGCTGCATGAAAAGTGAAAGCAAAAAAGCAACTGCTTTCAAGGTTTAAACATTTTGCTCTTTAAAAATTGATGATTGCAACATCATAAAAAAAAAGGTTTTTTCAGAACAAGGTTTTACATGGATTACTATAAGAAAGATTAACGTTTACTACGACAATGATTCAATATAAACCCTTTTAGCACCTCAAAACCATCTCCATTCCAAACCCAAAACCAGCGAAATGTTGAAAACCTTAACAACACGATGTACAAGGGAAAAAAAAAAAACCAACAGCAGTTGACGAAAAATTAAGAGAGTTTGATGACCCCATGATTGGCTACAGAATCGTGACAATGGATATTTATCAAATTCATGGAAAAGTAATATCGAAGTCCAATCGTTAATTCAATGACTGGATATTGAGTTGACCCCATGATCAACTAAACAGAGAGCTCACGACTACAAGGCAGCTGAAACTTTTCAGACAAACCAAAATAGACCCATTATTCATTTTCAACATATCTGAAACGGGTTTTTCTCAAAATCCCACGTAAAACGAGGTTTCAACTTCTTCATGAAAGCCAATATGAGAAATAACTTCACGTGTGTTTACCTTCTTATCTTCAGAAGCAGCTGTATTTGAAGAACTTTGACGATCATCAGGATGATCAGCGTGAACAGAGCTCGAAACGGAGGTGTTCTGTGGCAATGATATCGTCTTCCCGAACAGCTTAATCTCCGGGTCTTTCAGTTCCGACATTCTAGCAGGTAAATTTTCCTTTTCCTCTGTTTTCTCCCCTGTTCCTTTAACAGAACAGAAGTGCCTTTTCGGCTTTTTCTTTCTTGTCCTCTCTTTCCTGTGCTTTTCTATGTTATGAAGGGTGGTTGAAGGGAAGAGTTCAAGAACTTTGATCTAAGTTGAAGGCCAAGGTTTATATTTTTCCTTTGATTTTTGATCATGCGTTTCGTCGTTTAGCCTACAATTTGGGTTTTTCTTGATTTTGGCTCAACACTCTATAAGAATTAAGATGGGCAGAGCGAAGGACAGAGAGAACTAAAAAAGTTTGAATTGCCACGTCAGCAAGAGAAATGAATTTGAGCCACAAGTTCTTTGTGGCCTTGGGAGATCTTTCCATGGTTTGGGACTTTTACAGGGAGAAAGGGGTGGGTCCTGGCACCCATGAGGAGGGTGGGTCTGTGGTGGGCTCCTGGCGGGGACAGGGGCGAGGGACTGGGCGTGGTTTCTGATTCCCCCGAAACAGTTGTGCTGAAAAGAAAGCAGCTTGTATTTTTTTTTTTCCTTCCTCTTTTCTCCATGTCAGCATAACCATTCCCAATTATTACTACTTTCACTTTCCCTGTCATTTGATTATCCTAAAAAGGTTGCCTAAATTCAGTAAATTGAAGAGGAGGCAGACGTGACATGTTTTCTCCTCTAGACTTTAAGGCATTTTTAATCCTATCTTCTTTGTTTCGACTCAACGGAGAGTTTCAGACATAAATTGGTTTTGAACGCACCAAATTCTTGCAAAGCATGATTAATTTTAGGAATCAAACTGTCACGGACGGACCTGGATAGAATCTGAGCTATACTTTTTTTTTTCAGTAATTTATTTTGGGGAGGATCGGTAGTTCTACTCAGCGCTTTAAATGCATATATTTTCAGAGGCGACCCAAAAGAGGTTCTTTCGAACCATAGGCAAGAGACTGGTGTAAGGAATTAGATTCTTGGCATATCTTTAGAATTTTGATAATCTACAGGTTTCTTTTCTTTTGGCTTTCATTTCTATTCATCTATCTGGCTACTACTAGATACTATGAACCATATCCGTACGCTCCTCCAAAGAAATCTCAAGACACCGTGTGTGGCTGAGAAATGGAGTTGAATTGTACATTCGGTGGGTTTTCTACTCCTAGACTTTACACATCACTTTGTGGCATTTTCATTGTTTCGACGCTTTTCCTTCGATACTTCGTGTGAACTCTTATTCACGACATGCCAATGTGTAAATTTACACTTAATTATATTGATCTAATATCACTTTCACGAACATAACCGCAAAGAAAGAATGGTCTCTTTTTTTTTTTTTTTTTTTAAGATAGGTAAGAAATTTATTAATTATCGGTAAAGATACAAACGATAAGGAATATACTTAAAGAAATACAATCACAATAAACCAGTCAATTAATGACTACTAATAAAAGCTGACACACTATAAATCAGATCGTTGGTGCCACATAATTAGTTGTCGATGCGAAGTGTTTAGTTAATTTAAATTAATATCAGACATTACATGATAATTTAAATTAATTGGACACTTGATATAATTTTAAGAGTAACGCTAAATTACCACTGAAAAGTAGCATCGAGAGTCTTAATTGGACACAAAAGGACATCTCAAAAACTAAGGATGGTGTCTCATTTTCCAAAACTTCATGACTTTTTCCATAACTTTCATCCCTAAGATAAGATAGTAAAATCCACTAGCCAAAATGTGAATTATAGACGTTCAGAACCAGAAGAATTAAACTACCAAAAACACGAGCTAATGAAAGTTCATGAATGCTTCTGATGGGTACCACATATCTTTTTACACAAGTTGGTGGCAAAATGGTAAATGTGCTCCCTCCTGAAATCCCATGGCTGAAGCCGATTGGGCGACTGAGGCTGTGGATTGGGCGACCAAGTGGACTTGCAGCATTTAAAATTTTAAATACGTCAAAGTCTGACAAATACGAAGCACGTGGCTGCGGGTCCACGTGGATGCAATCCAGCTATCGACTTCTAACAATTCTGTGCCTCTGCGGGGACTACCTGCCACCTCAGCAACACACATTCGAGGTGGTTTGGAACCCACATCCGAAAAGGGTAAAGCGAAAAGCACAATCTCACTGACCAACAGGCTATGCATCTGTGCCGTTCAAAACCCAGCCCAGTTGATGCCCGCCACGTGTCCCCGCTGACGTACGCATAAGCATCTCCTCCCTCAGTGTATCCCCGGGGGCGTTGGGGGGCCGTGGAAAGAATCTTCTTCTAGTGGCTGCCGTTTGCTGATCCAAGGAGAATATGTTGCTTCCCTTCTGACACGTGTCCATGGTTTTTGTGGGCAGATAAGACCGGGTCCACCGTATCTTTTTCTCTTATCTTAAAAGCCCTTGTGATCTTTGTTTTTAATCTCTCCAAACAACCTTTTTTTTTTTTTTTTTTTGCTCCTTTCCTGATTTTCCCTGTTGTTTTCTTTCTTTCCCAGTTTTTTTTTCAATTAATAGTTTGCCAATTAATAACTGAAGTGCAAAATCATGTGTCTTTTTATTATTAATTTCTAGTCTTGGTGCTGTAATTTATAAAAAGAAAAAAAAAAGAATAATTGAACCCCAAAGGATGAATGGTTCAAAGTTCTAAGAGAGAAAGATAGATAATTGAATAATTTGACGTTTGGGGGTGAATTTCAACAAGTACCAAAATAAAATGGCCATGAGGACTAATGCGAGGTAGCATAGTCAAATAGACAAGTTTCTTCAGCAATTAAATCTGCAACAACTTGGTCTTGAAGGAGACTCACAGAGCATTATCAAGGTGATTGAGAGTTTTGAACCAACTAATTCTCGCTCTAGTGTTCTTGTTAAATATGGCATCTTTCATTGCATAATTTCTTAGTTTGGGAAGTTTTTTTGGACCTCTAGAAATGACAATATGGTTGCTCATCTTTTAGCTAGCCACATTTGGATTGTTATTTTTAGAAGTTTTGTAGAAAAATTTACTGTAACAATTTGATGTCTAGAAAAATATACTAGACATATGCTCCTCAACTAGCTTTTCATCTGATTGCCCACAAGCGGAAAATGTACTACTCCCTCCGTCCCACTTTGATAGTCATGTTTTTTTTTTTACACAGTTTAAGAAAAAGTAGTTAATTTTGTTGGAAAAGTAAATTTAGATTGCTATTTTTCTAAAATACCCTCACATTAAATATGGTACAACTTTATGGAAACTTAAATTGATGGTAAAAAAAGAATCAACTCTCATTAAATGGGGTAGGTTTATAATAACAACTACTTACATTGAATAGGGGTATTTTAGGAAAATTAAAATACAACTATATTCTTCAATTGGAAAGTGAACTATAATTTGAGAGAGATGAGAAAGGAATACGGGACTATCAAAGTGGAACGGAGGGAGTATAATATTCTGCACAGGGGAAATAACTAATTATGTTCGCGTAAAACAATTCTTCTAGCTAAAATTTTTAGACATGCCAGACGAATATTGCGATGTGTTGGGTAAAGATCGCTGTCTACAATTTACCCATAGAATAATATTTCTTCATGGCAGATAAAATAATCAAAAATTTGACTGGCTATTCCTTCTCTTTTCTCTTATATTCTAGGTCCAGACTGTTTTTGGCTTCGATTCTCTCCAGGCTCGTGGTCCAATTTCATTTATCTTCCTTTTGTTGCTAATGTACTAAATATGATTATTAGACTTCTTGAAATCCAGAGACTCAAATTAATTAATAATTTAGAAAAATATTAATCAATCGCGCTCTACTTTTCTACGATGGCACGCTTTCGTTATCTTCTTTTTTATTATATAATCTAATAGGTGAACACCATACAAGAAAAATGATGGTGAGATTAACATCTGCTTAATTTGATAGTTTTGGTATGCATGCACGAAACCAGTGACGGAGCCAGAAAATTTTTTTGGGGGGGCCAAAATTTTTTCCCAATAAAATTATCTTAATAGATTATGTTCAAAATAATTTTCTTCTATTTAAATATATGACATCTAAAAATATCAAATATTAAATTTAATTATAAAGGTACGCCTATTCATAAATATGCGGTACAGTCATAACAAAAATTAACAAAAAAGATAACCTTTCATTAAATATCTTATAACATCACAAACCATCCAATTTGCACATTATGAGAAGATGCTCTCCAATATGTCACTATGCAATATATATATAACCATGTAATATAAATGTAACTATTTTCAATTGAAAAAAGATAAAAGTTATGTTAACATACTTTGAAATTTCAACATCTTTTCTTAGAAGTAAATTGAGTTCTACGCTCTTTCATAGAACTAAATTCATCTATGATTGAATCACTGCTAAATTTTTTAGCAACTTCCTTTTCTATATACACAGTTAGACAATCATTCAAGAAATTATCTTCCATCTTATTTTGGAGCTTTGTTTTGATTATTTTCATAATTGAAAATGCCCACTCTGTAATTGCAGTTGATACAGGAAGAGTAAGAACAAATCTAATCAATCTATCAACAAGAGAATATATCACTGATTTTCTTGTCTTCACCAAGTCTTGACATAACTCATGAATACCAGATAATTCTTGCAATTCATGATGATTTAGAATGTCGAGTTCAAAATGTTGAAGTTCTATTTTTAGACGTACTAGTTCTTGCTCCATAAAATCATTCGGATAGAACTTCTTTGCAAGTTTACAAATATCATCAATCTTGAACATTATAAATCCATTTCTAGGATCCAAAACAGTGCTCAAAACAAGCAATTCCACGGTGTGATCATTAAACCTGCTATGTAACTCTTGCAATTGATAATCAATTGTTGCAAGCAATATATCCATTCGATAATAATACTCCACACTAATCTCATCATGATGACTTCGAGATCTACCACGTCTTACAATATATTGAGCATTCATGCATGGGATATCAATTTGATGTTGCTCAAAAAATAATTTAACTTTCACCAAGAAATCATCCCATCCCGAATCTCGAAAATTCTTCAGTAGCTTTGTTGTGCTTGAGACAAGATACATTGCATTCAAAATATCTTGAGATTTACGTTGCAATGCTATACAAAAAAGATGAGTAATTTCCACAATGTCTTTCATAAGATGCAAAGTGAAAACAAACTTAAAAGATAACAACTGATTCAAAACAAAATTTGCATCTCCACGTTGAGAGTATGAACCTCCATCTACTGCAATGTTACTTAAAACCACACAAGTAGCATTGAACATTTTCAATAAACTAGAAATAGAATCCAAATGAGAACCCTAACGAGTATCTCCAACTCGTTTTAAAGTGCCAATTTGATTAAGCCCCCTTCCAGTTTCAAGTTCACCATTAACAATCTTAGTAGCAACTTCAATTGCTTGTGCCTCATTTAATTCATTATTACGTTTGCTAGATGTAGTAACATTGTTGATAATGAAAACAAAATTGGAGAAGAATTGGTGAACATAAGTTACTTCTCTAGAAACTGCAACTAAAGCAAATTGAAACCTATAAGCCAAACAATGAATGTAACAGGCATATGGACATTCATGGCAAATTAAAGCTTGCAAGCCATTCCATTCAAAGATGACTAATTCATATATATATCAATTCTCATAATTTAAACTAAAATTGTAAAAATTTAGGGGGGGCCAATTTTATTTTACACACATATTTACATATTATGAATTAAAATTCTCAAAACTCATGGCCCCCTCTGCCCCCCTTGGCTCCATCATTGCACGAAACGAAAAGCTAAAAACTGAAGTCTGGATTTATTCGTCTTAGGATCATTTTGGCCTGCGGGTGGCGGTGGGCATGGGAATCAAGATGTTATTTTGACACGCAACTAAGGCAAGAAGAGTAGATAAGTGAGAAAAGTTAAAAAGTAATAAAAAAATTTTCTGGGATTTCTGGACGAAGTTGATTTGGAGAAACATAACACGGTGCATAGTGCATCCACACTCCACACTTTATTTTACAATTTTTAAAGTAACCAAAAATGTGTCAAGTGTTAGTGGCGATGTCTGAATTCTGAAATGGAGTGAGTAAGTGGCAGCTTGGGTTGGGAAAGAACTAATTGTATATCATTTCATCTCAGCACTGTCTATTTCAACTGTGCACAATTTCCAGCACCAAACTGCACTATTTTTAACTTTGGCAGGGAAAAAGGCGAAAGACTATCCCCAAAGTGCTAGCTTAAGAATGATTACAAGCATTTTTCTTTATCATGTTTTAGTCTGTTGCTTTGGTGACTTGTCCCGGATCATGTATCCCGGTGAATTTAAATAATTGTAAGAGAAGGGATCTCTCTTGTTACAATGAGGAAGGACACAGATCCTATCTTTGGGAAAAGGAGAGAATAGAAGAAGATCAGGGTATTACACAAGAAAAGTCCAGCCAAGTAGACTGTTATCTAAAACTCTTATGTCAGCTTACGCCTCTTTGCAGGCGAACTTTTTCATAAACTGGGCTAGCTAGTGAAACCTTGGCAGAATATATTGTCGCAGTTTGGATTTTGACCACTCGTGTCATTATTCATCTTGCCCGGAGGTACCCTCTACCTCTAGTAAGTAGTAACTAATCTCCAACGTACTTTGGACTACTAAGAATTCAGGGCAAAACGAGAAAGCAACAGGGCAATGTAAAATTGCTCTTTTGTCACCTTTCACTTCAATAGTTCAATTCCCTGGTGGATTCTACTCTTCATATTGCTTCGTTGACTTGTTGATTTGAGTAGAAGTGCTCCACTATTTCAGCTTGAGAGTCACATGGCATGGCATGCAGCCATGTCAGTTGAACTACCTAAGTAATGGAATTATAAGTTGAACGTATTGTTCCAATTAATGCATACGTGTTCTAAGCTCCACTTTAAAGTCAAGCCCCACATATGGTGCTCAAAAACGGATGTAGGCAGCTTTCAGTGGAGGGGAAGGGAGACTAGCTAGGTTAGGCATGCCTCCATTTCAGGAAGGGGATCTTTTATTACTTTTTTGACTTCATTATAGTAATGATTTTTGTATGTTTCGACAACCCTTGCATGAAGAAGTGTCTGAGTCTGTCGTATATAAATAGAGAACTTGCTATTCAAGAAGCAAACCATTATGCTTAGGCTTTAACCCATCAAACTCTCTATACTGAAGAATGTAATAGCAAATGGCGGGGGGAGCCCTTCACCTATTAGTGACCTTCCTAGCTCTCTCTTTCCTTCTTCCACTGAATGCTCTCCCAACATCGAGTAAAAACTACACTCCTTATCAAAAGAATGTGCAATTTTTTACTGTTCTTGTTCTTATGGTACTTATTTGGTTAAGCAATTGATTTGTGGTAATCTTTTGTAATTTTAGGGAAAATGCATCTGTTGTATGAAAAACGTGCAATTCAAGGACTAGATGGCATTAACAAGGTAAAACTGCTCAAGTTTCAAATTCTACGCAGCCGCACAACAAACCTGATGCATTTGCATTTGCATTTTTTTTTTAAAAAAACTTTGTTGACACGTTTTGGCCTGTGAAATCAGATAAAGAATGCAGAAGTTGCAAGAGACGACATCACAAGTCGTAGGATGGATGTCCAGGTGAATGACTATCCTGGACCAGGAGCAAATAATCGTCATACGCCCTGAGAAGACGAGGTTTAGCTAGCTTTTGTGCCGGAATTGTCTTGACTATATATATAGTCTACCTTCGTATAAATATCATACATACCTGTTGTTTGCAGCTTATGTGATCTTATTAAAGTAGCTTCCCTAGCCATGGAAACAGGAGACCCAAATCTAATCTCATGAGTGCAACAAATATTGTACCATTTATTGTGTCCGTCGTCGGCTCAATATAATCTATAATTCTGTCTAATAATATCTCAGGATTTATGATTTTATCGGGTGCTGTTGATGCACAATGGGAAGTACAGTTTATAATTAATGTTACCTTTAGGCCTTCAGGGAAATGCATTTTATTTCAGCTTCATGTCCCGGGCACTGCAAATATGGTTTTTACACTTACCAACATATGAAAGCACGTAATCCCAGTTCTCCAGGAAAAATGCAAAGAGTTCTTTCAATGTTTATATCAAGAAAGCAGTTTCCTGATTAGAGAGAACAACACCTAGATTGAATCAGTAATTAACTATTCTTTGTTGTGAAACAGGCACCCAAAATACCGCTTAAATCAAAAGAAAAAGGGAGTTGTACTACCATGACAAAAAATCGCGTTAAAGACTCCTTGCTTTATGTGTATTTTTTAACAGTCACATTTGCACCTTTTACCGCTTATCCTTGCCCAACTACTGTTCTAGTAAGGAGACTAAAACAAAGTATCTGCAGTGGTTATACAGAGTTTCAAACTGCATATGCCTATGTTGCTGGTGAAAATGAGCATAAACCAAAACTTTGCTGGATGATTCAGCTGGTTTGTATCTCTGAGTTCCATGCCATATTCACAGGATTTTTCGGTGAAGTAGATGCAAATGGTGCTATAGATGGGTATCCTGGAATGGCTGGAAATGCTCAAGTATTGATGCATTTCGTCTAATAAAGTCATATTACTATGCCAAATTAAATTTGATGGAAACAAATCATATTAGAAAATGGTTCAGAATATTTCATGCTGTGACATCCTCTTGTCTGATAGTAAGAATAAGCACCTGAGGATGTTTCATTTTCGTAGCCTTGGAGCCAGACAATTCTGCTAGACATGTATCTTTCATTTACCCTCTAAATTCATGTGAAGGCAAAAAAGTCGGAGAATCTTTTTAGAAAAAGCTGTTATTGCCTTGCTTGTAGCATTGGTACTGAGGGTTTCAGAAGATTTTTACTTTTTTTCAATCAAAGTTGGAAAACACAGAATAGAAGCTGCAGTTTTCAAAGATCTATCCAACACCCCTTGATTTGAACCAATGAATTATAAATTTATAATATGAGTAAGCTAAGTAGATTAAGAGAAAGACGATGATATTGGGGAATCTTGAAAGGAAAGTTGCAAGCTTTAAAGAAATGTGTAAACCACCTATACTCTCCACAACAACTGAAAAAGTAGAGAGAAGAGGAGGACGTCAAAGTAAAGAGAGTGGATTTTAGGTGTCAGCCACTGAAATCTCTGATGACCATCAGTCTTTTTTTTTTTTTTTTTTTTTAAATAAGTTTCCCTTTGTTAAGGAAAGATATTCAAGGCTTCTTAAGTAATTTGCCCAGGGGCATGTATGCCTGTGACTGGTGACTCTCATGATACATTTGGTTCATGGGATCTATAGACAGCAATGGAGTTACGCCTTGAAGTGCAAAACAACATCATTTCCTCACAAAAAAAAAAAAAAATTCACGTTATATAAAGGTTGGATCAGTGATTCTATAATAATTGAAATTAAGGAAAATCTTGATTACATTTGAAGTTTAAGGCCCCGTTTTAATAACCTAATTCAGTACTTAAATTCAATGGATTTATATCTTAACATATTCGGATGTATTTGATAATAAAAAATGGAGCATTTGAATCAATCAATTAAATGACACTGAATTTTCTATATAAAACTTGTTCCAAAAAATAAGTGATAAGTTATTCACTTATCATTTCATGTAATATATACTCAATGCATCATATTTAAGTCTTGTTTGATAATTCAATTTAGTACTTAAATTTAATAAGTTCAGATCTTATGTTCAGACGTATTTGGTAATAGAAAACAGAACGTTTGAATTAATTAATTAAGTGTCACTGAATTTTCTAAACAAAATTTGATTCAAAAAATAATTATCTCTTAATGTGATGATATACATTCAAGTGTATTAGATTTACATTACTTTACAATTACGTAAACTAATGGATTCAGACTTCAAATCTTAAGTTTTAAATTTTAATTTTATCAAGCGCATCCTTAACACTTAGTTTAATGAAATCAAACTTCAAACTTCAAATTTCAAATTTCAAATTTTATATTTCAGTTGTGTCAAGCACATCCTAATTCTAATATATTTTGCATTTCATTTACATACTTCTTTTGTGATTGCTCTGCACGTCCTTGTTTGTGGGCTATGGAAATGCTACCATCCTCCTTTTATGATTATAGAATTCCTTGGGATGCTTGCTTTAGGTATTTGGTTGCAGTCCTTCAATCAAAAAAGGTATTTGGTGCAGCATGAACATATTTCATAAAAACACACGCTTGGAGAACAGTCGAAACCTCACCTCAGTCAATACAATACAATACAATACAATACTATAAACTACCCCACGTGCGTTTATTATTT